CAGGGACAGCACGGGGTTAGATACAGAGTAAAGCTCCCTCTACACGGTCCCACTAGTCAGTTATTGAACATCTCTGTCTGTTTTAGGTGCTACTGCATTGCCCAGGACCCCAGGCGTTCTCTCAGGCCCAGGGCCCGGGGATTAGACCCTACGGAACCCCCTTCTCCCTCACCACGAGTAGCAGGCTTCTTCTGAGACTGTAGGCCGCAATTTCAAACAAGCTGAGGCAGCTCCAGCTAAAGTAGGCTGAGGCCTGGCTTGTTTCTGTATGCCTTGTCAATCCCGGATGCTCATCGGGGGGCGGTTTTAAATGCTCTCTGTCTGTTTTGCGTTTACTTTCTGTTTTTTTTCCCCCGTTTCTCTCTCGCTGTCTCCCTCTGTTTTCACATTTTGAGCGTCCTGGCCATGTTGCAGTAGCGCTGACAACACAAAATGGCGCCCCTTCACAAAATGGCTGCCGCAATGGTTTGCTGGTTATGTGTTTATCGAACACGTATTTGACTGTGGATGATCGATGGGGGTGGTGGGGGCTGCAGTCGAGGGGCGCGGAGGGGGTGAGCAGAAGGTCCACCGTCAGCATAGAAGCCCTTTTGTCCCTCAATAGCGCCACAGGCCCCCAGCTTCGGCCATTTTGCGATGGCAGCCCATTTTCATGCACATTGACGGCAGAGGGAGAACTTTGAATTCAATTTCTTTAAAAAAGCCTGGAATTAAGAGTCTAATGATGACCGTGAAACCATTGTCAACTGTCATATAAACCCACCCAGTTCACTCATTGTCCTTGAGGGAAGGAATCAGCAGTTCTTTACCTGGTCTGGCCTACACGTGACTCCAGACCCAAGTGTTTGACTCTTATCTGCCCTCTTGGCAATTAGGGACGGGTAATAAATGCTGGCCTAGCCAGAGACGCCCTCATTCTGTGAACGAATGAATAAAAACTTTCATTCTGCACATCAACGCCATTTTCTTCTGGCTTTGTGGGATGGACGAGCAGAGGTGAGTTGGTGGCTTTTGGATTTTGTCACTTCTGGTCCTTTCTGTGGAATTATTTTGGGGGGGGAGTATGTGTTGAAACACGGTTGTTTTCGAATGGGGTGGCGTGGAGAGGGACCGATTGGAGGGAATGTGGGCTAGCCCTCACAAAATGGCCGACCGTCTCAAACTGGCCGCCTTCTGTAAAATGGCCACCCTTCACACTATGGCTACTACCACAAAACGGGACTCGGGGACTAAACAGTACCCCTTTCACAAAATGGTCCCTCTTCACAAAACGGTCCCTCTTCACAAAATGGTCCCCCTTTCACAGAACGTCCCCCTTTCACGAAACAGTTCCCCTTTCACAAAATGTCCCCCTTCCACAAAATGGCTGTTCTTCACATAATGCTCCCTTTCACACAATGGCCACCTTCACCTGCACCTCCGCTAATGTGGTCTATTGCATCCGCTGTTCCCGATGTGGCTCCCTCTACATCGGTGAGACCAAGCGGAGGCTCGGAGATCGCTTTGTAGAGCACCTGAGCTCTGTTCGCGACAAACGACAACACCTTCCAGTCGCGAACCACTTCAACTCCTCGTCCCACTCCCTGGGTGACATGTCCATCTGGGGCCTCCTCCAGTGTCACGATGACACCACCCGGAAACTGGAGGAGCGGCACCTCATATTCCGCCTCGGGAGCCTACAACCCAATGGTCTCAATGTGAACTTTACAAGCTTCGAAATCTCCCCAACCCCGGCCTCATCCCATGACCAACGTTACCTCTCATCCACGCCTCCATGGCCTGTCCATCTTCTCTCCCACCTATCCGCCCCTCCCACCTCGCTGACCGATCCCCACCACTACCTACCTACACTCACCTATCACCATCCCACCTACCTTCCCCAGCCCCATGCCCCCTCCTCTCTATTTATTTCAGAGCCCTCTTCCCCCTCCCCCATTTCTGAAGAAGGGTCTAGGCCCGAAACGTCAGCATTTCTTGCTCCTCTGATGCTGCTTGGCCTGCTGTGTTCATGCAGCTCCACACCTTGTTATCTCAGATTCTCCAGCATCGGCAGTTCTTACAAAACGGGGTCTTGTTGACCGAATGACGGCGGCCCGTCACGGAACAGGCCCCCTTCTCAAAATGGCGGCCCTGGCACGCCGCTCCCTTTGGCTACCATCACAGCAGGCCTGCCGCTCACAGTGTGGCTGTCCTTCACAAAATGGCTGACCATCACCAGCTGACCTCGACCCCCTCGGAAGGTGAGGAGTTTGATCCCCACGCTGAGAAGACGTAATACGAACGGCAACAGGTTTTCTGACTGCTTTTTTTTTAATCTCTCTCTCTTTTATCTCTCTGTTGTCTGTCCATCAAATACTTCATTCCCTGTCTCTTTTCCGTCTCCAACCTCCATCTTTTCTGACGCACTCTCCTTCGGCCAACATAACTCTCGCTCTTGACGGCTCTCTTTCCTGTTCTGTTGTCGTTATTCTTCACTTGTGTCTGTGTTCGTGTCTGTTGCCTCGTTCACCCCTACATTTCCCATCAACCCCCTCTCCTTCTCCTCCGTTCTCCAGTCCTCCACTTCCTCCTGGACAACAAGTGGGGCTATAGTCAGGACCGCCTCATCGTCAGCAAGGACCAACAGGCTGTCCGTAGCGTTGCCGGTCTCCCCATGCTCTTCGCGGCCGAGCAGATCATGACCAGCTGCCACTTGTGCATTGACCTGGTCGTTGGCGACGTGGCCCTGACTCAGGGCAAGCATTACTGGGCGTGCTCGGTCGACCCAACCTCCTACCTGGTCAAGGTCGGGGTCGGGCTGGAGAGCAACCTCCTGGAGTGGTTCCAAGTGCCCCAGGACGTGGTCAGCCCCAGGTACGCACGTCCATCGCTCACCCACCACCCTCCTCATCGCATGACCCGCGCACACCCGCCGCGCTCGGAGCTCTGCTCGTCTGCCAATGGGGCATCCACCATCCCGTCATTGCATGGGGTTTTGGGGAGGGGGTGGGGTGGGGCGTGGAGTGGGGTCATGTTGACCCCGCCTTCGAGCCGAAAGGGGAAGGTGCACAGGAGATCGTGACCTTAGAGCCTCACAAAACGTTTCCACACTGCATCACATGGCCTACAGGGTCTGTTCAAACAGGGCCCGCCTTGCAGGGTCCGTTCAAACAGGGCCCGTTCAAACAGGGCCCAGCCCGCAAGGCCTGTTCAAACAGGGCCCGGACCGCAGGGCCCGTTCAAACAGGTCCTGGCCTATAAGGCCTGTTCCAACAAGGCCGGGCCTGCAGGGTCCTTTCAAACAGGGCCTAGCCTATGTGGCCCATTCAAACAGCGCCCGACCTACAGGGCCTGTTCAAACAGTGCCCAGCCTACAGGGCCCATTCAAACAGGGCCTGGCCGATAAGGCCTGTTCAAACAGGGCCGGGCCTGCAGGGTCCATTCAAACAGCGCCCAGCCTGCAGGGCCTGTTCAAACATGGCCCGGCCCTACGTGGCCCGTTCAAACAGGGCCCGGCCCTACGTGGCCTGTTCAAACAGGGCCCGGCCCTATGTGGCCCGTTCAAACAGGGCCTGGGCCTATGTGGCCCGTTCAAACAGGGCCTGGGCCTATGAATCTGCAAACAGACCAAGCGCAGATATTTAAAGTGCCGCAGACAGCACGCCTCGAGTCTCCGGCTAATAGCAGGTCTATTTCCGCAGTGAGGGACATGTCGAAGTTACAGCTGAGGGATAAGCCTGTCTCAGGCCCACGGAGAGAATGACCCAGCTGTCCTCCATCAGGCTGAGGTAGTGGGTGGGTCCTTGGCCCGATGCTGGTGTATGTTTTCCACCCCCCTTCTCTCTCTCGTTCTGCCACAGGTACGATCCTGACAGTGGGCATGACAGCGGGGCCGAAGATGCCACAGTGGATGCATCTCCCCCCTACGCCTTCCTGACCATCGGCATGGGCAAGGTCCTGCTGCCCCAGGGCTCCCCCCTGCCCTCCCGCGACCCGTCGGCTGGTACCGCGCCCTTGCCCTCGCGGCTGGGGGTCTGCCTGGACTACGAGAGGGGGCGGGTGGCGTTCTATGATGCCGTGTCCTTCCGGAGCCTCTGGGAGTGCGGGGTGGACTGCAGTGGGCCCGTCTGCCCGGCCTTCTGTTTCGTGGGCGGGGGTGGACTCTACCTCCAGGAGCTGGTGGCATCCAGGCCTGAGCCGAAGGCCTCAGGCTGTTCCACGCACAAAGGTGAGGAGATCAAAATGGAAGCCAGTCCGACTACGACCTCCCCCCTCCTTCCCCCCAAGACTCCCTGTTAGCTCCCCACCCGCCAAACCACATCCCTACGAATCAGAGCGGGAATGCCTTGCTGCAATCGCGGAATATTATCCACAGTTTTGGCCTCCTTTATGTGAGGAACGATAGGGAGGGAGGCATCTGATTGGTGTTGAGAGAGGCCGGATGATTAGGCCAATGTTCGCTGGGTGTTTAGAAGAATGGGTGGGATGTCTCACCTTTCCTTGGGGAAAGGCAGGGAGAATTTTCCCGATGACACGGGGTGGGGGGAGCCCAGAACTGGGGGAGTCACATACAGCGTGGAAACAGACCCTTCGGCCCAACCACTCTGTGCCGAACGTAATCCCAGGTCCCACCTGCCTGCTCCTGGTCCCTTTCCTATTCATGGACCTATCCGTTTTTAAACTGTACCCACGTCCGCCACTTCCTCAGGAAGTTCATTCCGCACACGAACCACCCTCTGTGTAAAAAAAAATGCCCTTTGTGTCTTTTTTAAATTTCTCTTCTCTCACCTTAAAAGTGTGCCCCAAGTCTTGAAATTTTCCATCTTAGGAAAAAGACAACTACCATCAACTCTATCTATGCTTCACATTATCTTATAAACTTCTGTCAGGTCACTTCTCAATCTCCTATGCTCCAGTGAAAAATATCCCAGCCTATCCAGTCTTTCTTTTTAATTCAAACCTTCCATACCCTGCAACAACCTGGTAAATGTGTTCTGAACCCTCTCCAGCTTGATAATACCCTTCCTATAATTGGGTGACCAGAATTGGACTCAGTATTCCAGAAGAGGCCTGACCAATGTCCTGCACAACATCAATATAACATCCCAAGTCCTGTACTCAAAGGACTGAGCAATGAAGGCAAGCCTGCCAAGTGCCTCTTTAACCACCCTGATAATACGTGACTCAAACAAACTTTAAAGAATTATAGACCAGTACCCCTAGGTCCCTCTGTTCTACAATACTACCAATAATTGTATAAGCCCTACCCTTGTTCGTTATACCAAAATGCAATACCTTGCATTTATCTAGATTGAACTCTATCTGCCATTTCTCAGCTCATAGAACCATTTAGTAAAATAAAATAGAATACCTACAATGTGGGAACAGGCCCTTTGGCCCAACAAGTCCACACTGACCCTCAGA